GAAATTCACGAGGAGCCGAGGGGACGACTGGAGCAACGGGGTATGAGCATGGAAAGCTTTTCTACCCTAGCAATGCAGCCATCGGACGACGGAGCGGCAATGGTCTCTGAAAAAGGAGCGTGCTGCTCGCCTGCTTTGCGCAATTTACCAAACTGTCGGGTTCGCTGCCGATGCGGTGTTTCTGCCTTTTTGTTTTTTCCCACCCCCAAGACAACTGCTTGTTTTTCTGAGCGCCGCTTTTCTTGCCCTGTCTCACACACACTCTCTCTCCTCTCTTCTCCTCTCTCTCTCTCTTCTGCTCAACACTGTACCCGACAGTCTGGAAAGTGGCAATCACACGAGCCCTGGTTGTGCTGCCCGCGCGCCCGCCCCTCCTCCCCATCCTTCGAAACCTAGAGCATGCCCTGTCTGTTTCCGGGTGCGACAGTGGTACGCGGAACCCGGCCGGCCGGAGAAGAGGAATCAAAAAAGTTGAGACTTGTCTACCCAAAATTCTAGGAACCCCCTCTTTGCCACACCTTGATTATCGCCGAGTCGGGTGCTGGATATGTGTACGGCATGTCGTCGACAGTCTAAATCCAGCCTCATACCCTCCTCCCTCCCTTGGCCTCATCGTTACCCGGGACGATCCTCCACGCCCGCCCGCCACCCATCTTAGTCGTGGGGCCGGGGGGGTGTTCAAAAAAGGGAGACAGAGAGAGGCAAATTGAACAGGTCCAGCCGGGCGCATCACGGCCGTACGGCCGTCAGGGCACAATGAGGCAACACATAGGCCAGAATCCGCTGATCCCAGCCCAGAAGCCCCAAATACCCCGGCTCCAAGATACCTACTTAGCTAGTACAGCACAGCGCATACCCCCCTCCCCACCACCCCCTTCTCTCTCCACTCCAGGCGCCGGCGTTGTCAACCCGTGTGCCGCGCTGTCGCTGGGGTACCTCTGACCCCCTAGGGTTCTCATCCTCTCGCTATCGACGCGTTCCATCTCCGTGAATGCGCCGGTCAAACAACGCCGCGCTCTCCTTGTTTCTTATTGACTTGCCCATCTCATTGCCTGCCGTTCACGTGAGCGCAGCGAGACCGACGCTGAGGTTCGTGTCTTGGGGGCACCCCTGTCTGTGCTGGCTCAGACCTGTCGGAAAGACAGGATCCTGGCAGTCACGCAAAGGACAGCCTGCGGCCTGCCGCCTCCACCCACGCACACTATTTGGTGCATGGGATAGTAGGATCCATGGCGGCACGACAGGTCGGGAACCCGTGCGGGCAGGCCCATTGTGACGTTGCCGAATAGCCCAAGGCACACGAACCGCGGACAATTTGCGATCAGCGCTCGCCTGCGAGGTGCCAGGCACCCTTGTTTGCCTTGATCACTGACGAGAAATGTGACGAGCTGTCAGCGTCGTCGCTTGAGGTCAGACATGCGCAATCTGGAAAGTCTGGCTGGCCCTCAGATTGCCAGGCTGTTCTCGCCATGCGTGATCAGAACCGGCTGGTCTCTAGGTCGAGAGTTGTGCCAATCCTCGGACAAGGAGGTCCCACATGGAGTGCTGGACTACTAGGCTCGTCGACCAGCCGATTACTCGAGGGCAGGTGTGCTTTTTCTGGCGAAAAAAGCTTGACATTTGACATATTTCTCCGCAGTGCCTCCGTGCTCCTTTCAGCTCATGATTGATAGGCGAGGACATGGGAAAATCTGAATCAATGAGTGAATGTTTGGTGGTCATCTTCTATACGGTTCGCTCGACACCCATCGCTGAAGTTGCCCCGCGTCTACCCTCCCTCATGAGGTAGTGAAAATCCCGCCCCCGATCCCGAAACATGAACAGGCCAAGGTTAGACCAAAAGAAGTAATGTGGATAAAAGAGAGAAGAAGAAGAGAAGAAGTAAAGATGAATCCACCTCTCATTGCATGGAGGTTGTCTCGCGTGAGCTGTTGTAGTCCGTCTGCCCTCATTGCCTCCCATTGCCTACCCGTATCGAGCCGCGCCCGTCTGCCCGAAATGAGTGTATTCGGCCGAATATGCGCTTCAAGAAGCATAAAAAAGAAATAAACAAAAAAATGATGAAGAAACGGCCGGGAAGCGCCTGCTTAGGCACGCATCCCTCTGCCACCACGACTCTGTGGCGAGCCTGTGGGCGCCCTGCTGTTACCACCGCTGTTGCAAATCATGTCGCCGCATGCCTGCTTCGCGGCTCGTCGGCCCTGTTGGATTTCAGCGGACTGTCCCATGCCCATTGAATCGTCGTCGGTATCAAAAGTTTGGGGTGACTCGGCCTCCACTTTATATGCTCGCGTGTCGATATCATTGAGCACCTGCTCGCGTTCTCCAGGGCTGAGGTCAATGGTAGCAAAGGAGCTCGCGCTGTTTGGCAAGTCGTCTCGAACCGAGTAATCGTGAATAAAAGAGGAAGGAGTAGCTGAGGGTAGTTGTTGACGTCCGCGGTCGTCGTCGCGTGGAGTCGCTGTGCTGCGTTGGCGCTCGTTAAGTTTGCGCCTTCGGCGGGTGCTCAACTTGACGTCCCCTTTCCAGGCGTCCATCCAAACGTGTGAGAGGCCAAGCTCGACCATGCGCATCTCAATATTGCCAACATTAAAGTCTGCTTGAGGATTGCCTCCAAGTTCTTTAAATTTCAGGTGCACCTGTCGATAGTACTGTTGTTCGACTTGTCTGGCCGCTTCCACAAGAATCGTGTCCTAGAGGGAATGTGAGCGGGATCATTCTTTTGGCGAGGGGTCAGCCTTGCAAACTTACATCCTTTTCATGCCACTGTATCCACTTGGACTTTGCTCTTGAGACTTTCATTTGGAGCGCGGCCCGATCAAACTGCGTCTTGAATCTCTCGTTGTATTCCCGTGTAATGGGGTCCCACATCCCCTTACCCTTGTTGTCGCTGTATTTGGCGCGCAGCTCGAAAAGAAACTTGTCCGTGTCAGGCATGCCTTCCTTGAAATCCAAAGGCTCAGAGTTGCCGTGGCTAGGGGGGAAGGCGATGCTCCGAGAAGCGTCCTTCTCCCTTGTTCCTTCCCGTCCGCCGGTCGAGTGCGGCGGCTGACGACCTCGTATGCGAGTTCGTTTCGCAACACGGGGAGGGGCCGGCTGACCCCGCCTTACTTGGGTTCCGCTCGTGTTAGGTGGTAGCGTGTAGCCCCCATTGTGTATCATGCGCAAGTCTTCGTTGCTCGGGCTTCTGTATTGCGGCGATCGATAGTGGTTCAGTTGCGTCTGGTTGAGGCTTGGTGCGTCGGGGGACGGCATGATGTGGCGATGCATGTTGTGGTGCTGCATATCCATGTCCATCTCCTGTTCGGGCTTGACAGCGAGTATGCTTGGCGCTAGTGTTGTGTTCATGTGTTGCTGCTGTTGCCCCATGTTATGGGGTAGGTAGTAAGGGTGGTGATGCATCTGTTGCGCCGGCGCAGTGACCTGCTCTGGTTCGGTCGAGGAGACCCCAAAGGATCCGAAGTAAGGCTCCGGCGGCTCAGGGATATCCTCCTTGTGGTGGTGGTGGTGGCTCTGTGACGACTCGGAAAGAATGTAGCCCATCTCGAACTGACCATCAGTGGTAGGCGGCTGCATGGTCAGCGGCGAAGCTGCTTGGCTCGAAGGCGCCGTCCCCATATCATATGGAGTGCCCCAGTACATCTTGGCTGTCCCCGGGGGAGTATGTTGCTGGATGCTGGGTGTTGTCGAAGAAGGATATCGGCTCATAAGCTGTGATCGCTGTTGTAGGGGAGGTGATCCGGCGCTGGAAATGGGCGTGAGCAGGCTGGTGTCACAATGATGTGGTTGATTGAAGGACGAGGCCTGAGACGCGCAGTATTAGCCCAGCAAAGAATGGATGAATGCTCGAGTGGATGGACACCCGCAGGGAGAGAGTGGTAGGGTTGGTCATATATGTGAAGGAATAAACGTACAGCACTGTACGGAGTGGTAGCAAAAGAAGAGCCAGTCGTTCGTACGGTAGAAGAGCAGCCGTCATGTAGGTCCTCTGGGAGGCCGTCTGTTCGGACATGGGAAGGAGGTGGGAGGTAGTGGAGGTCTGTCATGGCCATCTGGAAAAATTGGGGCTGCGTGAGCTGCAATTGACGTTCACGGACCTGACCAAGGCGTTGTGGTGCTTGTTGGCGGTAAGAAGATCTTTGATGTCTTCTTGTCTGTCTTTGGAAGGTGGGCAGATGTGGATGTTGGGGGTCCCGGTTTGCGATCGAATGAAGTCGAGCAACAGATTGATATAGAAGAAAGATGGGGGGTGGGGAGGGCTGATGAGCATGTGGTGTGTCTTGTCAGGCACAGGCACAGGAACAAGAGCGAGAACAGAGTCGAGTCGAATCAGCCTCTGGCCTTAGACATGGTCATCAAGGAGGTGGAGGAGAGTGGATGAAGTCGCAAAGTGAGCCTTGCGAAGGCGCAGACATCGCGGGTCTAAGTATGAAGGATGGAGAAGATGGAGCTTCTGTATATCAGGCGGCGCTGAAGAGCAAACGGGTAGAACGCAGACACTTCTCCCCAGGGCTTGACGTAGGGTATTGCTCCCGTCTTGCACAGGTAGCACCCCGGGTCGTCCGACCCCCTGCTCGGCGCGACAAGGGTTAGCACACAGCTCCACCACCATCAGTCTGGCCGCCGATGTATACATGGTAGGGGTACATGGGACCCTGCTGTGGTCTGGCTAGGCAGCGTCTTCTGGGTGCTGTGCTGCATGCGGAGACGGGGATGCGAGCGATTCTCTCGCAGACGATAGCCGCCGTTGCTTTTTTAGAGCGGGACGGGCTGACGGGCTTGACGGGTACTGCCAGGCGTAGCACCCTTCCATTCAGGCGTGTTTCCAAGACGAGAGCACGCCGGTGGTCCAGGGTGGAGGGGTGTCGCCAGAGAACTGGAGAGTCAAGACAAAAAGCCAGCAGAGCGCGCCGATATCATCACAGGGGTCGTTCTCAAGCATCCGTGACTAGAGCGAGAGACAGGCGGGCAGATCTTTCGTGGACGAACGAGCCATGGTTTGCTTCTCTGCGGCTCTAGTATGTGAGGCGCCTAAGTGAGGGACGAGCTTTGCGAGCTCGGCCATTATTGTCCGTGGCGGAAACAGACCAGGCGCGTTTCCGCATGGTTGAGATATGGGCATGAGACAGCGTCCCACAGGCTTTCCAATGAGCAGTGCACCGCCGAGATGGATCCCTGTACGATATGGGGTCGTCTCTGAACTGTAGTATGGCCACAGGCGATGGGTTCACGGTAGGCCATAACGAAATTGACGATGAACGGCAGCGTGCAATGGGTTTCTGCCGTGCGCAAGGCAGAAGAGCATGGGAGCTCATCAGTAGTCAGGTCCTTGTCTCTAAGCCATTGACTGGCACGGAAAGGCTAGCTTTGGTCTAACGCCTTGATTGCACTTGTACTCTGGAGTGGTCAGTCGTCAGAGCCAAGGGCGGCATGACTCTGCAGCAGTTGCCTTGAGGTAGATCGAGGAGGGGCGGCTTGTTGGCAGCACCAACAAGGCGTGGCAGAGATGGCAGTTGTGCGCGGCGACTGGCATGCCACAACGGGGATTTGATGGTGCGGTGGGTGCGGTTGATGTGAAGAGCTGGCCACCAGACAACGTCACGAAGCAGGCAGCTCGACTGATCCTCGGGGCGCCGGCGACAAGGCAGCAGTCGTGATTGCCATTGTCCTTCATCTCTTCTTTTTCGCATTCCTCCGGTGTGCCTCGCCTCGGCCTGAAGAGGCGGCCAAGCGTGGTGGGGGGAAACGGCAGATTGCGCAGCAGCGACCTTGAATTAATGGGTTCCCCCTTCCGCCCCCCACCCCCTGGTCTCCTTGTCAGAGGGCAAAGGACAGCCCCAGCTATGGATTTGCGGCCGGACCTGGCCCGGACTGGTTGACAAGACCTGGGGGCCTCAGCCCCTTTGCCATTGAGATGGAACACTTGACGGGAGAAATGGAAATGGGAGTGTGCGATGGGCTGTGGTGGAGAAGAAACAGCGAGAGAGAGGTCATGGGGAGGGAGGCACAAAGAGCGAAAGAGAGGGACAGAGAGCAGCAAAGCTGGTCCTGGCCCAGTGTCTGGTGTGAGTGATTGCGACGTAATGATTCGGTTCAGGTTTCGGGGACTGCGGGTGACAGACGTGCGAGCCGTGCCAAGAACTCTCCTCGAAGCAGGGGTGTTCGACCTCGGTAGGGGTACGTGTATTTGGCACGAGAACGTCGAACGAGCACGGCAACGAGCGAGTGCTCTGTGCTTTTCGGGTCAACGCCTGGAGGTGTGCTTTAACGACACTCCCCGTCTTGACAGTCCTCGTCTTGACAGAGACTCGCGAACGAGCGATGCTGACATCGTACTTGTACAAAATAAAGGCAGGGTAGAACCCTGTCTTTGGCCGCCTGTCTTGCCCTCTGCTGTGTCGCGTCCGTCTTGGCAGATTGTGGGGACAGAACAAGGAGATGAGAGGCGTGGGCGGTCTGAGGTTCGCTCCGTCGAGTCTATGGGCAGATGGAGCGCGAGCGCGGATCTGAGGCCGTAAATCCTCCCGCATTTTGATCGGAGATGGCGCTACACTCGATGCGCCCAACTGTGCGCGACAACAGCCGGACATGTCAGGTCTCTGATGTGCTAGATGCCGTGAATGCCGCGGCCCCAAGAGGCAAAAGACGTTGGGTTGACGTGTACGAATCCGCGGTGGCTGCTGGCTTGGAGCCAACCACTAACGCTCCAGACGCTCCAGGGAGGGTCGATTGACGCGGTTGCAGGCGACTCGGTGGGACATATGATTGATCAAGGAAGCGATTGTCTGTCAAGTGACACACATGACAGGTGTGTGTGTGTGTGTGGGCAAGTGTATGTACTGGAGCTGGAGCTGGAGTCGCTGTAGCTTTAGCTACAGCTGGGACCAGGACTGGGACTGGAGCTGGTCCTCAAGCTGGAGGAGGGGTTGCATTGCCCTTTCCCCTTTCACTGAACTGGGAAAGGACGGGCAGGGAAGAAAAAGGAAGGGGGTGGATGGAGGAGGAGAAAAGCAGAGGGAGATGGGAGCCAGAAGTCTGAAGGTCCGCGTCCGGGATGGGAGAAAGGGCGAGGAAGGCGGGATGAGGACGAGTGAGTCTATTTCGCAGAACGCTGGTCCCACCTATGGGCCCGCCTTTACTCACACTATCGTAGGTGAGCCACTCACATACCCTACTCATCGCTACATCGCCCCACAGACGACTGGGGGTAACCAAACTGTCGGGTCGTTAGCTCCAGGCTAGCAGGGGCAACCCAGAGGGGAGTGACTTCTCAGCGTTCCAGTGTACCTGCCCCTACCCCTTGTTCATGCCTGCCACTAACCCGAGGTCGGACCATGTTGGGCGTCTATCCGTCTGGAAGTCACTGTTCATGACTTTGGCAGGACCAGGGGCGGAACCCAGGCTTGGGCCAATGGGCACTCGATGCTTCCACTTACCTTGCGCTAATGCCCTATTGAGGTAAGAGCCCTTGTCACACGCGCGCGTCTGCCGAATGTGAATGCACTTGCCATTGGCCTGCAGCAGACAATAGACGAGATCGCCGCGATGTTGACACCAACACCGCAAGAAAAGCCCCAACGCCCACCACATGCCAACACACACACACACACACACCCTCACACCCTCGCACTCGCACGCCTTCACGTCTTCACACGCCCTCCCCCCTCCTTCCCGCTCTTTCGCCCTTCCTCTTCTTTCCATGCCTCTATTCAAGTCCTTGGACCTTCTTCCTTGCACCCACCACCATCGATCCCCGCCAAGGTACCCGCAAAGCCCCCCTCGGCTTCAATGACCCAATGTACATTCCCTGCTCCCTCATCACATCACACTTCCGCAATGTTCTCTACGCTGCTCGATCCGAGCAGACGCTCAGGTAAGGTACCCGAAACGCAAGTCCATCACATCACACGGCACTACTTGCAGATACCCGTCCCTTTCGACAGCACCTAGTAAGTATTCGGAAGACCAGGGAGCATGGCTCTCACGACTGTTCGATTCATGGTCTTCTCATGGCATTGATCAAGTTCGCCTTGTAGTGACAGGGTGGACACATCAGATGAGCATAGCCATCATTATGCGACCCGACGGTCTGGAGTCACACCCTCAACGCCCCCTTTGCCTCGATTCGTGGCAATGCTCCTGGACCAGAAATGGCATCATCATCATCATGATCATCATCGTGGCGGTCATGATGGGGGCCGCCAATGGCTGAGGTGTTACCCGCATCAGCAAGTGAAACTCAACCGCCCCCAAAGTCTCCGGCTTTGGTGACTGAAAATCGTTTGCAGGGGCCACGGCCAGGGAGAAAGTAGACACAGGCTCCGGGGGGTAGATCAGCTCGGGAGGAAGGCATTGTAGCCTTACCAGCACTGACATATCAACCTTGGGTCTCTTCGACGGGCCACCGCGGCAGTGTTCTCTTCTCTGCATGCCTGATACCACCTCGTCCGCGGCCTGCCCCCCCCTCCCTCCCACTTACGGCACAGAACCTGTTACGGTGAAGCATAGCCCGATATGGAGGCATTGGCTGTCGCTATGTGGCCTATCAGGCACCTTGATTCTGGGACTCTGCAAGGCCTCATGCAGCTTCTAAGCGCCTGGGATGCCCTTTCAGCCGCCCCCGATGAGCATCGTCACATTGACCATGGCCGCTGGCGCGTTTGTTGCCGACCCTGAGGCGCGATATCCAGCTAGGATCGGCCCTTAGA